GATCAACAGTGTCAAAAGCCGCAGACAGGTGAAGGAGAATTAGGATAGAGTAGTGACCACAAGATTTTTGCAGCGAGTAGATCATTGGATACTTTGGTCAGTGCCGTTTCCACAGAGTGCTTATTCAAAGCACCCTTTTTGGCGCGTACAGTGTCTCCATGCAGAGCGAGGAGAAACTGAACATTTGTCTGAATGACTGCCACTAGAGGTGTTCCTAGGCAATAATTTAAACACTGCCTTTCCTTTGAAAATGTTTACATGAAAAGGCCTGCACGAACAGGCAGTGTACACCAGAACAGCTACAGTAAGCTGTAGTTGTTCTGGTGACTATCATGCCCCTTTAAGATTTTTTTACATCTCTCGCCAGTGCACTGTGTGCGCTCACGACAGATGTTGCAACTAACCACCAGCACATAATAACTCAATATGTGCAGTGTTTCAAGAAGAAACGCTGCAGACACAAACTCCCATCACAATGACCACTTCAAATCACGGAAGTGGTCATGGTGTTTGGAATAACCCATTATTCAGCTGCTTATTATTTTGTGGCAATTATTCATAGGCCTAGCAAAACAAACTGAGAAAATTGAAAGTTTGAAAACTGAATTGAGCATGGCCCTTATTTGGCACTTTAGCTTAAAAGAAAAAACTAAATATGAGGAACAATACCCCGGGGATGCAGTGAATATTATTTATTTTGCATTAGCACACAGGTTTAAAATTATTTGCAAAATGCAATGTTCCAGGTGTGAAAAACACAAAAGAATAAAAATATTTGTATTATACATTTTTTGCAGAAATATTGTACTGCAGTACAGAAATACTGTAGTGGTTGTGGTGCTTGGAGTTTTCCTTTAAGCTGTTATTGTCCCGCCAAGTTTGTATTAAAACAGTAATGCTTGCAACTCCTAGAAAATAGCCAAAATTTTTGGGCATGTGAGATCCACCCAAATTCAGGGCAAACATACGCATCTAATTTGAGGGTATTTTCCTCAGTCTGAAGTAGCTGTGTACGCATAATTATAGACAAAACTGTGAAAAACACATATAGAATCCTTAACATTCTTTTTCTTTTTATTTCCAATACATTCTCATACATAGAAAAATAGCATTGAGAGTCTTGATAGTGAAGGAGTTAACCCATAGTTCATATTCTAAATGAAAATAAATATCCTGAAAAAATGACGGATGTATCGGTAAATTGACAGGTCTCCTGATGCTTCTGTCAGTGTCAGCCTGACACATCAGTATGTTTACCAGTGTCCGGGTTACACGAGGAAAGGGAGGAAGCATAAAAAAAAAAACAAAAAAAAAAACAACTCCCTCTTCCACCACCCCCTGGATCAGCTGTACTCCCACAGTTGACAGCGGGCCCGCCTTGGCCATTCCTCCCATACCCATACACACCTCAGCCCAGCCTGCATGCTAAACTCCAGTGCATCCAGTGCATCAGCAACTCAAACTACAATCCCAGATTGCATTGTGGCAGAGCTCCTTGTGAAGCTCAGTAAGAGAATGCAGATCATAAGGCTAAGCTGGGTTTTTGGTTTGTTTTGGTTTTATTCGCCTACAAAGCACCTTAAAAATAGTTTGTTAAATAAGGGGAAAAAGCAAAAACATTCTGATTTATTATTAAAAGTATTCTGAATTACTTCATTTTGGAGAGTGAGCGATGCTGTTTTGAAATCATTAAAAATAAAATAAAATTGCATTATTGGTAAGGTGTGTATTATTAACTCCTTAAAGACTGGTTTTACTCCTTGCTGGTTATTGGTAATCTGATGTCAGTATTAAATGACCTGCTTAAGGGGAAACGTCACTAGTGAGGTACTTGCAAAACTGACCGGCTAACGCAAATGTTCTTAAAGGAACACGCAACATAACACTGCATTGGCCCTGGCATCTCCCATTGTTAAAACGTAAGTTTGACTTCTTACTTGGGATCTACTGGGCACTGCCCAAGCAGGGGCTTTGATTACCTCTCCTGAGATCATAGGCTGAGAGTGCCAGATGATATTTTTTTGGTCAATGAGCAAAGTCCTGCACTCCAAAAGTCTTACCAACTATAATTCCTTTCTGGGATCTAATTAATATTAAACCCAAATCTGCTAATACTGAATCTGTGTCAAGATTGTGTCTATCAGCATGCATATCATGCTAGCTATTGACGACCAATGGCATGCGTCTGGGACATCCCTCCTCCTGCAATAAGGAGTGATGTCACAGACGGTGCACCAGGCTGCGGGGAGAACTTGGTCTCGGCATGGAAGCCTGTGTCAGCAAAATTATGCAATAAAAAAAAAAATGTTTTTATTTAAAACAGTTTTTTTGGTTGGAGTAACCCTTTAAGCACTTGTGGATTCCACATGTGTTGGCTGTGAACAGGACAGCGGCAGTTATGCCAGATGGAATAGCGGTAAAACCTGCTGTCTTCAGTGGAATCTCTAATATGACATATGCAGAGAGTTACTCACTAAACTGTGAATTGTGGACAGATGTAAATTGCAGTTTTTACACCAAAATAACCTAGAAACGTTTTACAAAGCAGCACTTTTTGCCAAGATATACCAATTTGGTTTTCAAATGATTACAATTCATTGAACAGAGACTAAAATCCTTACAGGGTTACTTTATAATGGTGATTTGTCAGGAAATTTAAATGTTAGGCTACAACAGCAGAAACTGAAAAATCTCCAGGTCATCTATGTTAATAGTTCAGATATAGTAGCCTTAAATTTAAAATTCACTTTGAGTTCAAAGTTGGAGGGTATGAATATGGACCAGGATGTTGGGCAAGCTATGAGAGGTGTGGTGACAACTTGACTGGCAGCGGGATCACATAGAAAATTAGTGATCTTTTCCAAAAAGGGGGCAAGTCATCCTGGCGTACAAGTAGGCCATGCTCACAGGCAGCCACTTAGGATAGCCCCAATCAGAGCAAACTATGCATAGAGCGTCTATGACATGCTCCTACATGGGCTGAATACCAAAGTGCACTTTGAACAGTCCAAGTGCATCTATTGGAGACTTTTCTCTTGTGTCCCCAGAATTGGGACATCAGGGAACAAACTGGGAATAGTGTGACAGAAACCAATTGAATCCCCAATTGTTGGGAGGTATTTGTTCTACATTTTCTACATCTTGTTCCACTTTCACATGCTCCATCCCTTTTGCAATAAAAGGGCATCACTGGAGACATACAAAGTACACACAAATGTTATAAATTTAAAAGCAAACTACATTTCGGCTATACATTGTGCTAGCTGGATTGCTAGTAAATGTTTAGAGTGTGAACAAAACCTATTCACAAATAGGCTCCAGCCCTAGCTGTCAATCAGTTCTTCAGCACTATATCGAAGACCGACTGACAGGGAGGGCAGGAAGGGCAGGAGAACCCTCCTATAGGATGTCCCCTATCTCAGAAAACAGCATGCTGTGTGGTTTCTATGGTTACTCCCTGCCCAGTACTCTAGCGCTGACTAGAGAAGTATAGGAATGGAGTCACTCATGTTACTCTGATCTAGGCAGATGTTGACATGCTGATAATGAAGCCAGTGTGTAAGCATCATGGAGGTTTTGCCAACTTTCCCGAGCAGGGCAAACAGAGCAGCGTGCATGGAGGACCTGAGGTGGATGCTACAGTAATATAACTCCCAGCAAGCCCCGGACATGGCGACGCTGGGACGAAATTAACTAATCAAATTTTATATTAAATGTATCATTTATTTCGAAGATACATTTTATCATATATATATATATATATATATATATATTGATTTATTTTAAAATGTAGTGGGTAAGGTTAATGTGACTAGGTGTGTAGATGTATTTGACTGTAAGGATTTCTGTAACAATGTAACAGTGCGTGTGACTGGGTAAATGTTACTCGGTGACAGGTTTGGAGTATGTGACAGGGTGCATGACAAGCGAATGTAACTAAATCAGGGCTGGTGACAGACAGGCTAGGTTCACGTTAGAGACATGCACACTGTTAAACTACTTGGGTAGTAAATAGAACACCTATGTGTGGCTGACAGAATAAATTAAAATACTTGGGTGCACTTCACCTTATTATTATTATTAATATTTATAAAGCGCCAACAAACTTTGCAGAGCTGAGTGGAGTAACAGACAAATATTTGTAACCAGACGAGTTGGACGCACAAAAACAGAGGGGGTTCAGGGTCCTGCCCAAATGAACTTAAATTCTAGAGATCAACCTTCAGACCTATAAGTCTTTTGGTCGCAGTGGCGCCCAGTTTGAATACAGTACCATAAAAAGTTAGTGCAGTTTTATCCTCGTAATAAAAGCATTTTTTTTTTTTACTTTACTGCTATTAAACAGCACAAGGTAAAAAGATAACAAAAAGTTTAATGGCTCTTTAATCACTATAATGACACAGTACTATCCATTAGACCAGGGGTCCTCAAACTGCAGCCCCCCAGATGTTGCTGAACTACAACTCCCATGATTCTCTGGCTATCTATGTAATTCAAAGAATCAAGGGAGTTGTAGTTCAGCAACATCTGGAGGGCCACAGTTTGAGGATCCCTGCATTAGACAGACAGATGAATTCAGAATTACAGTAATAGGGTATTTTTTTACTATATATTCTACCAAATTAAAAAGGGGATAAAATCCTTCTTTTTATTTTTTTAAGATGTCAATTTTTAGGAATTTTTCAAATACAAGGAGCAGTGAGGTGAGGTTTGTATTTTAATACAGGTCCCTGTTGAGTGCACACTAGCTGAGTGTGAGTCCAGATGACAGCTAAGCCTGCTGTGTACTGTGTATTTAGGTGATGGGAGGATGGGTTCCAGCCCAGGACAGGGCCCTCCCCTCCATCTCCCAGCAGTGGGGAGAGAGAGAGAGAGAGAGAGAGAGGGGGAGGGAGCAACCTGCGCCATTACCGCCCAGCTCTCTCTGCCTGGGGGAGGGAAGGGGGAAGGAGGAGGAAATTGGGGGAGGAGATTCAGCCAGCTGCTGGGGAAAAAAAATAATAATAATAAAATAAAAATTAGCCCCTCTACCTCCGCCTGAAAATTATCAAAGCAGGCTGGTAGTGATGGGGAAATAATAATATCTGTGGGGGGGCACAGTGCAGAAAGAATTACAGGAGAAATCAGATTAAAAAGCAGGAAGGAGAGAGAGAGCAGGAGGAGGAGGGAGAGAGGAGGAGGATCGAGGCTCGGCCGCCATCGCTGTGTGAAGGAGTGAGGCCGTCTGGTAAGAGGAGGGTCCCGGGGAGGAGGCCTCGGAGGGGGCTGACAGGGGCTGGATGGAGCCGATGGATCCCGTGGCGGGATGGCTGGGGGGGTGGGAGATGTGGGTGTCCGCTGGTGCCGCCCCCTCTCGGCTCTCAATCAGGGCGGGGGGGGGGGACCTGGGGGGCCCGGCTGCGGGGAGACGGAGCTGCTACGCCACAACCCCCTTCTCCAGCCCAGGCACCGCCGCCATTCGTGCAAAGGGGAGAGAGAGCCAGGCCCCCCCAGCCATCCATCCACCCAGCCATCCCTCCTCCTCCTCCTCCAGCATCCTGCCTCCCTCAGCCACAGCGACCGGCCTTTTTATCCACCCCCAGTCCCATCCCCAGTCCCATCCCCTAGCCTCTTCCCTTCCTCCTGATTATCCCTGCCACGAATAAGTACTATCATTAATTCACCATGAGCGGTATGTAACCACCCCCTCACCCCCCCTTTACCCCCCAACTCCCTGCCAGGTCTATGGCCCCCCTCCTCCTTCACATGCCCTGCTTTAATCTCCCCCCCTCTATCATGTCCTCAGACCCCACTCTGGTGACAGCCTCCTGTGGGGTGTGACTGTACCCATAGGGTCGGGTTTAAGGAGCATGACATGTGTTTAGATACAACTGTTACCATGTGGGGGGTGGGGGGGGAGAGAGGGGAAGGTTTGTATTTTTATAATTATTTTATATGCCAGGTTGGCATCATGCACAGGTACGGTTGCCCCTGGCTACTGACTTGCACTATGGTGGTGTGTTTGCCATTGGTTGGGGTCTATGAAATTGAAATCTAGTTACAACACCCACCCGTAGGCAAATATGACCACAAAAAAAAATAGTTTTATGATGTGCCATGGTAGCCTATATTCTGCGTCTTAATCCAGCGTAGTTGTAGTCTACTTTTATTCATATAAAGGTTTTTTTTTTTGTGTAAGACATATGTCAGTTGTCTTATTATTTTCCAGATCAGACAGAGGAGACTATGGCGAGCGAAGGAGGAAAAACAAATGAATCTGAAAGCAAAAAAAAGGGCAAAGCTTCAGGTTCACAGGTAATGCACAATTTTTATTTATTTAACTGGCTAATGTGTGGATGTCAGGTGCGCTTGATATTTTTTAAGGGAATTTGTACCACACATGCACACTTTTTTTTTTTTTTTTATTCATTATTTACAACGTTAATTAGTTAACTGTAAATAATCTGTTTCCTGTGTTGTATATCTTGACTTTGAAGATGGTTTGCAGGGGCAACATATACGTTTCTGAGAATGTAACCACTTCCTGTCAAAATAGTTAAATGTCTTAGAACTGTCAGAAGTGAACACACCCATTTTGTCTCTAAACCTTCCCACTTTTATCTTGTGACTAGGACTCTCAGCCCTCTCCTCTGGCCTTGCTGGCTGCAACTTGCAGTAAAATAGGAACGACTGGAGAAAATCAAGGTGCTGGACAGCAGCAAATCATTATAGATCCAAGTCAAGGCATAGTACAGCTTCAGAACCAACCACAGCAACTGGAACTAGTGACAACTCAGCTGGCTGGCAGTGCTTGGCAAATTGTTGCTACTGCTCCTCCTGTTTCGAAAGAAAACAACATTTCACAGCAAGCAATTTCCATTGCTGCTAGTACAGCAGCATCATCCAGCAACAACAATGAAAACACATCCCCTTCTAAAAGCAAAGCTACGAATTCAGCTACTTCTCCAGGGCAATTTCAGGTTATCCAGGTACAAACGCCAAGTGGCAATGTACAGTATCAGGTCATTCCTCAGATTCAGACCGTAGATGGCCAGCATATTCAGATTGGCCCTGGAAACGCCACTGCACTTCAAGATCTGCAAGGGCAAATACAGTTTATTCCTGCAAGTAACAATCAAGCTATCATCACAACTGGCAACAGAACATCTGGAAATATTATTGCACAAAACCTGGCAAATCAAACCGTTCCAGTTCAGATCCGACCAGGAGTCTCTATACCGTTGCAGCTGCAAACCATTCCGGGTGCTCCTCATCAAGTGGTGACAACCTTGCCCATAAACATTGGAGGAGTGACTCTAGCTCTGCCTGTGATAAACAGTGTGTCTGCAGGAGGAGGTTCGGCACACATAGTTCAGCCTACAGATGGTGGGGTTTCCAATGGAAATCAGCTGGTGTCAACACCCATCACAACTTCCTCTGTTAGTACTATGCCAGAGTCTCCCTCTTCCTCCTCCTCCTCGACTTGTACAACCACTGTGGCTACAACTCTGACTAGCAGTGATACGCTTGTCAGTTCAGCTGAAACAGGCCAATATGCAAACACACCAGGAAGTGGTGAGCGTAACACAGAAGAGTCCCCAGCATCTGTTACAGATTCTGAAACTCAGAACAGTCAGCTTCAGGCAAATGGACTGCAGAGTGTTTCAGATCAGTCAAATTCTCTGCAGCAGGTGCAGATTGTTGGGCAGCCTGTCTTACAGCAAATACAAATCCAGCAGCCTCAGCAACAGATCATACAAGCCATACCCCACCAGTCTTTTCAGCTTCAATCAGGACAAACCATACAGACTCTTCAGCAGCAGCAACTGCAAAATGTCCAACTTCAAGCACTTAGCCCCACTCAAGTTCTCATTAGGGCCCCAACATTGACCCCATCTGGTCAGATCAGCTGGCAGACTGTGCAGGTCCAAAATATTCAAAGCCTTCAGAATTTACAGGTTCAAAATGCACCGCAGCAGTTAACTATAACACCAGTCTCTACGAGCAGTGGTACCACTATAGCCCAGATTGCACCAGTTACAGTTGCTGGCACACCAATTACTCTAAATGCAGCTCACTTTACGTCTGTACCCAATCTGCAGACCGTAAGTGTTGCAAACCTGGGTGCAGCAGGAGTACAAGTTCAGGGAGTTCCAGTAACTATCACCAGCGTTGGAGGTAAGTTTGGTGTGTGTAAAGTTGCAGTGTTTTATAAAAATAAATAAAAAATAAAATTCTTAAGGTTGTGTAGTTTCAGCTGTCTGGGTGTTGTTGGAGTATAGTTCCAATCACTCACGGGCTGGCCAAAGCTGTTAAAATTCTGTCCCAAAATTCTGCCTTTTCACAGTCATAGTTGACCGTTTTGCTACCAGGAAATCATTGGAAACACCATCCACTGGCATGCAGAGTCCTGTGGCACTAAAATAATTAAACATGGAGTTTTTAACACAAGAATGATGTTTTTTTTTTTGTTTTTTTTATTTATTTTTTTTTTTATGAAGATTATTTGTCAACGAAGGTGCTCTACACTGTGCTTGATGCTGCACAGGTCTCTAAACATTATTTCATAATATATTAACATTTGAATGTACCTTTTACTAAATAGGTAATAGCAATTAAGTTGTTTGGGGTGTCAAACTTTTTCGCTTACAATTTGTAACACAAACTGACTTGTATTATGTATAGTACCAATCCTTTATTGTGTTACGAGTAGCAAGTCTAATTTTCAGAGGATATTGAACCTACAAATAACTATCTTGTACTAGGACTCTGGCATAGGCAACCTTCGGCACTCCAGATGTTTTCGACTACACATCCCATGATGCTTTGCCAGCATTATGGGTGTAAGAGCATCATGGGAGATGTAGTCCACACCACCTGGAGTGCCAAAGGTTTCCTATCCCACTAGGATAACGCTTAGCAAATGCATTGATTTGCAGATCTAGTAAAAATAAAGTATGTACGCAATCCAGTTTCTTCCAAACAGCCGCAAAGTTAATAATTGTGCACCTGCGTCTCACCAGACCTCAAGTCTTAAAAGGACACTCCACTGCCCAAATACAAAATAAATCTCATTGTTTAGTAGATATACCCCCACATAAAATCTTGCATGCATTTTTTTTTTTATTATTTTTTTATTTTTTTATTAAGTGTATATCTAAAAACGGCCTGTAAAACCTTCAATTTTCTTGTCTGGAGTTATTGCAAAACCTCCCCTTCTATTCCCGCATAGACTTTCTGTGGCTGTCCAATCACAGACTTCCCAATGCCGTTACATATAGTTACATAGCTAAAAAGAGACTTGCGTCCATCAAGTTCAGCCTTCCTCACATTTAGTTTTTTTGCGGTTGATCCAAAAGAAGGCAAAAAAAAACAGTTTGAAGCACAATTTTGCAACAAGCTAGGAAAAAAATCCTTCTTGACCCCAGAATGGCAGAAAGGTTTATCCTTGGATCAAGCAATTACCCTACATTGAATATTCTGTTTTTGCAAGTATGCATCTAGTAGCTGTTTGAACATCTGTATGGACTCTGATAAAACCACTTCTTCAGGCAGAGAATTCCACATCCTGATTGTTCTTACAGTAAAAAAACCTTTCCTTTGCCTTAGACGAAATCTTCAATGAGAAGTCTTTACTAGGCAGGTGCTGTGAGCAATTGCTGCCTCTCGAGTTTAGCTCTACTGACCTAACTTAACAAGGTAGTAACATTACCTGCTGTCTACTTGATAGCCAAGGTGGTGCAACCAGGTTAATTTATAAAATTGTACATTTTTATTTGAATCTGCACTTTTTGCAAAATGGGAAAAAAAGTCACACTTTTCACACACAAAGTGTTTCAGCAAGCTAGTGCTCTAGGGGTCTGGAGTGTCTCTTTAAGTAAATCTGGCAGGATTGAATTGCACAAAGCTGATCTATCTCATAATGCTTTGCCTGTGTGTGTAAATACTACTCCCTATTCCTGCAAATATACACAGAGAATTTTGTCACTTGGTTATCACCGTATGTATGTAGTTATTTATATATTAAAACTGACTCATACTATGCATGACAGGGTTGCTTTAACCCTTTAGAACAAGTACACTTTCTGGTACTTGTATAAAAAATAAATTAAATGGGCACTCCAGGTGGGAATTTATTTTATTTCTTACTATTAATTGCTTGTAATACAATTCCACTGTATAATTGGAAAGTGCTACAGAAAATGTTGGCACTGTGTAAATGCTAATAATAATTATCCATTTATTTTCAGTATATAAATAATGCATAAAAATATAGAAAACAACCAATTCATGATAGCGGGGAAAAAAATGTTTTTCTTTGCATCCAAGCGCCAGTGATCAGAACTGGGTTGTTGCACTTCCTCAATGAAAAAGTCAGACTGAAGGAGGACCACTGAAAAGGTTGAAACAAAACAGTCTGTTCCCTAGTCTCCTCCTCTCTGCACTTAAGAGACAGCTTTTATTTATTTTTTTTTTAACTAACAAAATTGTATTTTACTAGAGAAATGCAATTCTTAAAGGGACGCTATAGTCACCAGAACCATTACAGCTTAATGTAGTTGTTCTGGTGTCTATAGCATGTCCCTGCAGGTTTTCAATATAAGCACTGCCTTTTCAGAGAATTGCTGCCTAGTAACACCTCTAGTGACAGTCATACAGCCAGCCACTAGAGGGTCTTGGTGTAGCACGTATGTTCAGCGTTTCCACGCTCTTCATAGAGGCACTGAATGTTGCCCATAGATATGCATTGTAGGGATCGGCCGATAGTCTGTATTTTCAGCAATATCGGTATCGGCCAATAAAGATACCGATATTGCCGATAATGCAGACCAGGGCCGCCATCAGGATCCTGGGGGCCCAGCACACTCTTATTTACCTTCCCAGCAGCTCCCCAGTCAAACTCTTGCGAGTCTTGCGGCCGTCAGAGCGTTGCCACAGGTTACCATGGCAACGCTCCGCACGGCACACATGCCTTGAGAGTTGGACAGGGGAGCTGCTTGGAAGGAAAGTAGGAGTGTGCTGGGCCCCACAGGACCGCTGCGGGTCCCCCCTGGGAATGCCATATCCCCCCTCCCTGGCCAGTTAAGAAGTAGGGAAGGGGGACTAAAACAAAATGTTAAAAATCCCCCCTCCCTCCTATTTTACACCCAGCTTCCCTATCTTTTGGGAGAGATGGAGTGGAAATTTCCCTGGGGTTCAGTGTGGCCGCTCTCTAATATTCCTGCAGTTCCCCTCTGCTCTCTCTGTAGTGATTCTGGGGCCGAAGGGATGTCCTATTTCAGCTCCCGGCATCATTAAACAGCGCTAGGGAGCAGATAGGAACTGAAGGAAGATTACTGCTCCCTCGCTCGCCGCCTCCTTGCTGCCTAAGCCGGCTGGTTCAATGCTACGCAGGGTGATCGACTCCAGTGATCACTGGGATGGTCTCCGCCACGCTCCCCTGGGCGGCTGCCTTCTCTAAAGGGCTGACAAATCCCATTTGTCGAGCCTTGAAGGAGCCAAACTGGAAGCACAGAATTAGAGACTTTTTCCAATTCAGCTGTTTTGACCTTAAATTTAAAATTCACTTTGAATTCCCACTATAGTGAATAACCCTGAAAGTGATAGTGATGAAAACTGTAACAAAAATTAACATTTTAGTAAAGACTGACTAAAACTAAATCAAAATTTGCTGTCAAAATGAACACGGATTCTTTCCAGCAGTAGTACAAATATTTAAAATATCAATGAAAAGAACTGGCTGTAAGAAGTGCCGTAAAACCCAACTCTTTAGGAAAGCTTACGGCCTCCCAGAGTAACCTCTACCTCACATACCTGTACCTTGCTATCTCCTAAAGGGCAGCACTCTACTCTCTCTCTTCCACCTCTGCTTCACTCCCACCTTATTTGATTGCTATATCCTGTCTTACTGTGTTTTACACCCCACCTTCTATATACTGTAAGCTTGTTTGAGCAGGGTACTCTTCAACCTATCGTTCCCCTATCGTTCAACCTATCGAGTTTTTTGTAATTGTCCTATTTATAGTTAAATACCCCCTTTTTAAAATATTGTAAAGTGCTATGGAATCTGTTTGCGCTATATAAATGGCAATAATAATAATAATAATGCTAATGCACATATTACCTGTACCTGGATATAGAAAAAAAAAATTTCTGTTTAAAGGGATGATTTAGCGATCTTTAGGCACCCTAAAAACTTCATCTAAATAAAGTTATGATGTCCTCTTAGCTGAAGGGGTTAAACTATACTCTAACAGTTTAACCCCAAAGTTACCTCCAGCACCGATCACAACTCACCCCAGATGGCATCCGATTTCTGAAACTTCACTTTCAGGATGCATGTAGTGCTGCTGATTGGCTAAGAGTGGTCAACTAAGACACCAAGATATGAACCATGTGGTAGAACTTGATGTGTTGCCTAGTATATGTAGTAACGAAAACTTACTATAGAATAAACTTTGTCAGTTTGCTTTTTCTGGTACATCTCTGAGCTAGTAGAGTTTTTTTAGCCACCATCCTTTCCTCTTCCCAGACCTCTAAACCACCCATCTCAATTTCACATGAACTAGCCATGCATGAGAAACCTTGTGCATGCTCATGACTTTTTCTTGTAGCCCATTCCAGCTTTGTGTAGGTCTACAATCTTGTCACTGACATCCTTGGGCAGCTCTTTGGTCTTGGCTATGGTGGAGAGTTTGGAATCTGATTGCTTCTGTGGACAGGTGTCTTTTTTTAAATAGGTAACGAAAAAAAAGCACTACCTTAAAGACAGTGCTCCTAATCTCAGCTCGTTACCTGTATAAAAGAAACCTGGGAGCCAGAAATCTTGCTGATAAGGGATCAAATACTTATTTCACTCATTGACATGCAAATCAATTTTATAACTTTTTTGGCATCTGGTTTTCTGGATTATTTTTTTTAACTTTCACTGTTAAATACACCTATCATTAAAATTATAGACTGATCTTCTTTGACAGTGGGCAAACATTCAAAATCAGCAGGGGATCAAAAACTTTTTTTTTCCCTTCACTGTATGAGATATTTTGTGTGTGGGTGTAGTGGATGTAGCGCGTGTGTGTGTTTGTATATAGAGGCTGTAGTTTGTGTGTTTAGGAAATGGAGTATGTAATGTATGTATGTAAGGTATGCCTTTTGTTACATAGTTGGTTACATAACTGAAAAGAGACATGCGACCATCAAGTTCAGCCTTTCTCACATTTGTTATTGCTGTTGATCAAAAAGAATTTAAAAATAACAGCGCTTCCAATTTTGCAACAAACTAGGAAAAAAAATCCTTTTAGACCCAGATGTGGAGTCAAGCTATTGCTGCACAGTCGCTAATCCAATAAAGAGGGATTTACCACAAGTACCCCATGGTGGGCCACCTATTACTATATTTAACAATAGAGGGGAACATAGCATCCCCCTCCAGCCCCACCCAGTGAGTGTGTGCTATTGAACTAAAGGGGGGAACCTATTGTATCCCGCAGCCTCTACCCATTAGCGGCAGGTAGGGGCCCTAACTAATAATGGGGGAGACCCCCAGCCCCCACCCATTAGAGGCGAATGGAGACTAATTGTAAAAATAAATTCCCCCCCCTCTCCCCCAGTGACAAGGGGTCCCTAGTAAGCAAATACCCTATCTCTCTCACTCCTAAAAATTAATCCCATCAAATTAACACAATTTTAAAAAATGTCACAGAAAAAAAAAAAAATCCACCTTCACCCAGCAAGGGCTCTACGCAGACTTAGCTTTGTAGTGCAGGAAAACGCTTCTAAAGAATATGGAGAAGAGGTAAGTATGATGGAAAAACTTTTTGACACAAGAAGTTCAGCTTACTTAAGCTCCTCCTTGTGTCAAAGAAAGTCAGGCGTAGGAAAAATACTTAAAGCGGCACAGTCGTGGCCGCATCGTTTTTTGTTGTTGTTGTTTTTAACCCTCCCCTCCCGACTAATACATCTAATAGCACCCTGGTCACCCCCAAATGCCACTAAGCCCCCCATATTACCTATATTTAATGTCTCTTTTCTGCCCTGCGGAGCTCAGTCTCCGCGGTGCCCTCGCTGGGAATAACATGCGTTATTGTTTTTGCGCTCTGGACTTTTTTTATTTTATAAATTCGACAGGCTTTATGGTTTTTTTTTTTTTTTTATTTTGCCCTTTTTGGGGGCTGAAAAAAGACTTCAAATGGTAAGTGTTTATTTTTATTTACAGGGACTTGGTTTTATTGTCTCCCCTCACTATTTTTAGGGTGAGGGGAGTAGGTAGAAATGTATTTTATTTTTTGGGGGGCGGGGGAAGGACTAGGGGCTTGCAGGGGGGTCTTTTTTGCAACAGTGAGCAGCCACTGACTGCTCACTGTTTAGTAGACATGCCCCTACTTGCGGCATAGCAAGTAGGTGCAGATTTATTACTAATACTAAGTCATTTTTGCTTAGTATTAGTAAAGTTGGCTGAAAGACCAGTTTTGGTCTTTCAGCCTTTTGGTAGAAAGCTTCCTAATACCATGGGAATTAGGGAACTATTTACTAAGCGGCTGCAAGATGCAGCCGCGGCACGAATAGGATCAGTTTCATTCATTTGAATGAAATTCAAATACGAACAGAAACTACCGAATGCCATTCTAACCCGAATTAACGGACGGAATTCTGTAGTTTTGCCGGCGTTCTGTCTACATGACAGGACGCTAGGGAATAATGAAAGTAAGCATCGCGAGATCAGATGAGAATTGTGAGAAAATTCCTTTGACCGCGAGAAGTGGGCCAAAGCTGGTGAAGCGTAGGAAGCCTCAATAAGACAAAGTAGTCCCTACTTTGTCTTATGTTTTAAAGAAAACTAGAACTGACAGGAAGAAAAGAACAACAGATCCTGAGAGAGGTAAAGAAAAGGAAGCGATTGGGGAAAGGTAAGTCCGGCAGGACAGTGCCACTTTAACACAAAGTAGAAAGACCAGATAGGAAAGAGGAAGAGCAGAGGAAGCAATTGGGTAAAAATATGTAAGTAGGAAACCACCAAAATAAATAATATTAATGTGTATGTACAATATCTCAATGAGGCAACACAAGGCCACTGTTATAATTTCAGAGTGGCCATTGGGTGATCATTTTATTTATTGTAATGTCTAGTATTTGGGAAACAGGAAAACTGTTCATAGACAACTCAACACAATGTAAAGGCTATGTAAGTTTATGTACACAAAGTTGTATATGGCCTAACTCGACAAAATTCCTGCTCCTCCCAGCATGTGGCTGCACATAGACAGTGAGTGCTGGGATGTGACTTCATATCCTCGCACTCGTTATCTGTCTCCAAGAAAACGGTTAGTTACTGCAAGCTGGTTATACAACATATTGATTTTTTTTTTTTTTTTTCTTTGCCTGATTGCTAGAGTCAAAGCAACTTTTCCAACCTCTGGTTTGTGATATCAAAATAAATATTTTTAAATGATTCAGAAGTTTCATTTGTGTTTACATTTTCTGCCTCTTGTTCTGAGGAGATTGTATTTCCTAGCAGGCACCTGGCTTCCCTATCTTAATTGGCCGCTCACTGTCCATCATTTTGAAAGTTTGTCACCTACAGTATAAGAGGAATGCAAACTGCACATAGGAATAGGTTTAGATGACTGTCTAAAATAGCCCTTGCATAATGACTTTCACAGTGGGTAGTCTTAAGTCTGTTATTAACAATGTCTCAAACAGTTGAACCGTTAGACAAATGTTAACATGTACACTTATTTTTTACGTGGGTTTTTTTATATTTGTGTTTACTTGTTCTTTTTTGTTAATAGTCCACCAGTATGTTCTGGTAATTTCTTTGGAAAGTGTTTTAGTTTTGAAGATATTTCTTATAAAAAATTCATACATATCTGCTGTTATTCCATGTATGCACTGGCCCTTTTGGCACATGGCTAAACCACCATTAATTTTATTGTATTTTTTTTAATGCGATTTAATACAACAAAATCACAAAGTTATCTTTTTAAGGTGTTACTTCAAGCATCAGTAACACTTCAGTGATTTGAATATAACCAAGTATATTGGCAAATTGTTGCTAAATGGTTTACCCCATTACATGGAATAGAGACCAGGGTACTGCTGGCATCATAACCACTACAAAATGCTATAGTGTTTATGATGCTTGCAGTAACCCTTTAAGTGTACATTTAACTAATTTACAGCTGAAATAGATACTTAATGGCCTTTGTTAGTGATTGACCAGAAAACTCATTAATCCACTATTGGCTCTAAATGTAATTAAGAAACCGCTTAGCTAAACCCTCTGTGCTGTTAATAAATATCGAGGTAATTATGTCCTACCTTAAAGGGTTACTCCAAGCATCATAAATCACTGTAGTGTTTATGATGTCATGAGGTCCCAAGCCTGTTTTTTGCAACAGTTTGCTCTGTTACTTGGGTCTCAGTCATGCACAGAGGGTGCTCTATGGCTGGTAAGGTGCATCTGGTTTCTACAAAACTGCACAACACTGATGCCGGATCTGCTTAAAAATAATTGGCTGAGAGTATCAGCTGACCTCAGCCAATGAAATGCAGCTGTGTGCATAGAAATATGTGCAAAATTTAAATTGGCCAACCCAGAACTGTTTCTAGGCTGGCTGGTGGTGCTCTAACCCAATGATGTTGCCAGGGGAGGAGTTACATCTCCAGAAACAGAGGGATCAAACGTTGTATGTGTAGTGTTTCATTGTGAAACACTGTGCATACAGACTACAGGCACCGTGGCTACTTGAAATAAATAAAATGGTCATGTAGTAACCCTTTAAATGAACACTACAATCATCAAAACCTCTACCGTGCACTGTACAGCAAGCTTGATTTGTGGACCCAGGACATACTTGAAAACGAGAGAAATCTCAATGTATCTTTCCTGGTAAAATATTTTATAAATAAATATCTATGGAGTGTTCCTTTAAAATTGTTTACTTGCCATGTCTGGTTGAACAATAAAATAAAAATTTAATTAACTCAGATTTTAAAACAAAGTGTACAACCACTACCTTTTACTTATCTATTGTGCAAAATCTCACGTGGCCTTTCCACTGTAACCAAATGCAGTTTTACTTTTCTATAATCAGTATGTTTAAGTAGAACACGCGCACACACATTTGTTATGGTTGGAAGAATGCCCAGGTGCTGTCTGTCTTATCTTCAGGGGTTAAACAGTTTTCAATACCGAAAGCCCCTATGCACCTCAGCCTACATCCCTCCTCTCTGCACTACAATATTAAGAATGTTTAGTTTTTTTGTTTTTTTTTACAATTTGCAAAGAGTGCAGGATTTGGTATAAATTGACACTTTTTTTTTTTTATAAATTACCCTATTTACACCTCTTGGCTTTCAATCAGACAATAGGCCTTGTCACTTCCTGGTTTAGTTAGCTCAGTGGAGCTAAAGTCAAGAGGCAGCAACTGCTCAGAGCACCTGATTGGCATAGATTTCTCATTGAGCTGTATTGGGAAGTCTGTGATTGGACAGCCACAGAAAGTCTGGGTGGAGTTGGAAGGGGAAGGTTTGCAGAGGCTGCAGAAAAGAGAACTGTAGGTTTTGCAAGCTGGTTTTATATAGATAGATAGATATAATCTCAATGAAAAAATACATATTTAAATATAATCAACTTTTCATTGTGGGGTATGTCTACTAAACCATGGTAGGGGATAAGTCATTACACATTCCTTGACCTCTAATTATGTTCCCTCCTCTCTACCTGTGAACAGTAAAGTTGCTAATGCTTTCCAGAACATCAGTGAAAATATAGCTGGGGCGAAAAAAAAAACCTGCTACACAACTAGGCATTCAATGTGTTCTCATCATGCTACCTAACTCATAGCATAGTTTTTAGCAAAGTTCTGACCTGCAGCACATTCTCCCAACAGTCACATGGGTGCACTACACTTGAAGTTGCCTTGCAAAGCATTGTACACGTGATCATTCTTTTCATGTCGGATAATTGCATTGACAAGCAGCTGCCTGATGTCAGTTTTAGAAATAAAAAGCATTAATAACTATCAAAGTCTTTAGAGATCTGGGTCTAAAGAGTCCTGTATCTGGTCTTCAGCCCCCAAAGCGCACTCCCAAGCAACACCTATGATTGAACTAGCCTCCTTAGCCACCCCCTCTCAAATGAATGTGTTCTTTTTAGTCAGTCCCTCAATGAAACTGAATCTTTTTTAGCCAATGAAAATGGAGGCATGTCTTCTGTAGTGTAAGTAATTATCACAGCACAGACTGCACCATAGTGATGAGACTAGAGCCCATCAGTGCTCCTCTTCCTCCCTACATTCTCCTCCAGCCCCTATCAGCTAACCTGACTGCCCATGGTTAACCCCTTCCCTCTCAGCCCGCCTCACTGCCCACTGTTAACCCCTTCCCTGCCATTACCTGTCAGCCATCATCTCTACCCACTGTTATCCCCTTTCCTGCCAGTCCCTGTTAATCAACATCCCTAGATAGAGATATAGATAGTTAGCGATACACACATATATATATATATATATATATATATACACACAAAGATGAGTGCACTCTGGAGACTGTAGTAGTAAAGTAGAAATGCTTTTATTTTGCACAAATAAACATCAACGTTCCAGTCCTCCTGGACTTTTCTCGAGACAAGTGCTAAGTGCCAGATAACGGTTATATATACACAAGCTGTGAGATACTTGGAGGGTGAACAGGTGAGAGCAAGACTGGTGATGTCAGGTATGATGACATCATCATACCAGGTTTAACCATGTGAGTGAAGGTAAGAAAAAATATGTACAAAGAAACCATTAGCTCTATAACATATGATAAGTGGAGACCAGATAAAAAGAAGACTGGATCAACAGAGAGAATTGGGGTGATCGTTATGTGAGAACAGAAATGATCAAAGAACATAATTCAGTGATTGTTCCAGTCATGAAAAGGAGGGGGAATCTCACATTAACAGGCATAATTAATTGCAATGTAAGTTATACGAGTATTGCAAAAAAATGTTGGTATGTAGCAAACAATATAGCAATAAAAATGAAACACATGCAGATAAATTGCTACAAGTGATACGATACAGTGGGCAAGCTGAGGTTCACTGGGAAATTAGTTCTAATCCATTAGAGTCTGGGAAGGAAACAATATAAAAGATTTTTCTCATTCAGTCCGTGTGGGGCTAGTGTTCCCAAGGTATAAATCCAGTATGCCTCCCTTCTCAAAAGTTGTGCATCTCTGTCACCACCTCTATGGGATAGTGGGACATGGTCAATGCCCATGAAGCGTAACATCGGTAAGGAGTGCCCAGCTTCCAAGAAATGTCGTGCCACTGGAGTATTGGCAGAACGGGTGTTCAGGGTGATACGAATTGCTAAGCGATGACCTCGCATTCTTTCTCTTAGGTCATTAGAGGGTTTCCCGATATATACAAAGCCACATGGGCATGTAATGCGGTATACTACACATGTAGTGGTGCAAGTGATGCGATGTCTGATGTTAAAAGTTTTTCCCGAGTGAGGGTGGCAGAAAGTCTTTCCAGTAATCATCGAGGTACATGCTGTGCAACTCAGGCACCGAAAACATACTCTCACGATGGGACTTTTTTTTTTTCTTGTAGGATGAGGTTATGTTGGTCAGTATGTACCAGCATATCCCATAGGTTTCTTCCTGTCCTGTAACTCATGATGGGATTATTACGAAAGATAGGTGGTAGTGAAGGGTCTTTTCTAAGGATATCCCAATTCCCTTGTATTATAGATGTTATTTGACGGGAATGAGTGTGGTATGATACAGGGTAGATTAGTCAATTTATCGATTGGGTTTGATGGTCGTTCATCTGCTTTCGTTTATTGTGCTTGCTGTAGTGTTTGTCTCAAAACTTTTTAGAGTAACTTCTTTGCAAGAATTTGGTAAACATCTTTTGTATTTGTACCTCTGCTTTAGAGTGTTCCAAATTGTTGCGGAGAACTCTGACAAACTAAGAGATGGGTTGAGACTCTATAAGCTTCTTGGGGTGAAAGCTCGAGGCATGTAGTATGCTGTATAGTAATAGTATTTCTATCCGGGGGCTTAGAGTAGAGTGTATAGCTCAAACGGTTGCCTGTGACAAATATTTCAAGATCAAGAAATTCGATACTGGTGGTACTGTACTTGTATTTGAGTTTCACTGGAGTAGTTAACATATTCAAATTTTGTATCATAGAGCATATTTCATCCTCACTACCAGTCCAATTGAGGGGGATATCATCGACAAATCTCTATATATTTGACTATATGTGCTTTATATTGATTCAAAATGTATTTGCTCTCATACTGGGCAACCTTAAGGTCTACCTCCGGCATGGCACAGGCCATATCGGGAACCATAGGGCATGGGCACTCCGCCCTAAGCTTTTTTCTAGTTCTAGGCCTTATCTATGGCTTTCCTAATCCTCGCTGCAATGTACTGGGCTACGTGGTCAGTGGGGACCATTCAGCCAACCTTGGGTTTTAGCAGGGCATCGGGGTCAAACAGGGGTTCCCCCTTCGGGTCGAGCAACCTCCTTGGCACTAATAACTGGCTTTGCAGACATGCTGCGGTCAGGAGATGAGTTCTCCGAGTCAATAGAGCCGATCACCGACTTGTCCGAAACTTCCTCAGAATCCGATCCAGAGTCGGAAGAATCAGTCAGGGCTTTTGCCCTTTTCCTTGTCCGCACTGCTTTTGCCTGGCGGGTGGCTCTTTTACATGGGGGCACCTCGTCCTCAATAGTAACAGGACGCAACCTGTCCATCTGTACAGTTTTGGAGGTATTTTTGCCCACAAAGTGGGTCTTTTTGGTAGTCTTACGGGTGCTAGGGACCACTGGCTTATCGTCAAAGGCCTAAGGGAGTATCAAGCCAGGAGCGTGGCTAGATGCTATGATGACAGTTGTAATAGAGTGAGACAAATTGTCCGACATAGCACCCATAGCAGTGTGAAGGGCCTGGGTGACCGATTTGGTCATGGTAGCATCCAGGAGCGAGTTAAACTCCTCCGAGTTCATTTGCTCCAGTGACGCTTCTTCCTCCCCAGACCGGGTGGGGTTTTTTGTAGGTATACGGGGCAGGCGTTGCTCACTGGCACCAACAGGGGCAATAGAAGTATTAACCTCAATATTAAAAGGGGTCTGCATGATGTTAAATACAGGTGACTTTTTTTTACAATAACTTCCCACAATAATGACACTGGTAACAGATCACAATCTGGTACAGAATAGTATTGTAGGGGCTGAGATCAGGGAAGCTGTCACAGGCAGGGGCAGAGCACAGCACAAATCACAATAACACAACAGTGGGCTAGCTTACTGAGAGTTCTCTCAGGAATAGTCTCTGGGGAGCACTGGTAAGCAGCCCAAGTGTCCAGTGAGCCAATCAGCTCACGCCCGCCCCCACATGAGCGGCGTGAACAGCCAAAAAAAAAGCCAAACTTTCTCCACACTCATAATGGCCGCCATGATGAACAGTCATGAAATGCGCGAGTGGCAGTTATTGCGGAATAGGCCGCAACCCGCGGGCCTCCAGAGAGACGTGCCATGGGGTAGTAGGGAGAGTTATAAACAACCCAAAAGTATGATAGGAGGAAGGACAGCCGCTGGTGGGGGAGGTGGGAAAATCCCTGTGAGGAAGCTGAGAGATGGAGGGGGCCAACCAGAGGGCCCTGGTCAGCACACACAATAGTGGCAGTACATATATATACAGACATAAACTAGCAACAAAATAAACTGGAATAAGACATGAATAACAGTAACTAGTAGTCCAAAAACAGACAAATACAGAGCAAAACATATCTGAAAATTCACCATGACGTCACAACACAACAATAATAGACGTTCTTCAGGGTGGCAAAAGCCAAAGCGTTCTCCAATGGCACCACTAGTAAATTGCTTGGAAAGGAGACTCACCGTCTAATCTACATTTCAACAGGTAAATTGATTCAAAAACCGACGTGGTGGAAATTCAGACATAGCTAACATTATTATTGAGGAACTGATTAACTAATTCAGGAGACGGCAATACATGAAATGCCTAACCTTGGTCATAGTAGATGTAGCCTAAAGGCTAGTCTACTACCATAATTTTTAAATGAGCCTCAGCCTACCATTGAGTAGTTCTTTTAATGACTGTTGCTGTTTGACTTACAATATGTAAGGCTATGGTAGATGGTCAATTTCCCTGTTGCTCGGATCGGATGGTACAGAAGTGAGCTTTTGGCAGTGAAATGAATAGCGTGCTATAGCTTAGTGCTTCTCAGCTAGGCATTCACTCAACTTAAACTCGCGGTGATGATGAAACCAATGTGGTACACCCCTCAATCATCCATCAGCAGTAGCCTACAACTGTGTTTTTGCTTTTTAATATCTTCCATTGACATTTGATCAGTAGCCTACCAGACACTAGACGTTCTGTCTCTTCCTTGTATAATACTTTTACTTCAGGCAGTGACTGGCAATGAGTCTGATCTTCAAAAGAGACCTTAAGTTTACTAATATTGGTCTCGAATTTCCCCAGCTGAAGATAATTATGCTCTGCTATGATTTTGTAGATGGACAGTTTTGAGAATAAATTAAGCCAAGTTGAAGAGCAAGCAGGGTTGGCAGCATAAAGGTAAACGTTGGATGAATCATAATTTAGGGGATCATTACGATTTCCTCTTAGCAGTTTTAATATTGGTTGTTTGCACATTCTTCCAGTCACTCTGCAATTTAACCTAACCCCTTTTTTAACATTGAACACCAGGTACCTGTCAGAGCAAAGCGGAGTAGAGAAGTTACTGCAAGGAGAGGGAGCCCAGAGACAGTCAGGAGCATCCAAGCCAGACAGAAAGAAGGCAGGCAGTTGCTTTCAGAGACAGAATGAGAGAGAGACAGAAAGTTTTCACATGAACTATGTCTAATCTTTCTGCATATGTTCTTCAGTTGGACAAATCTGATTCTAATAGGTACATTAGTAAACTGAAGCTCTCGTTTGAATATCAGATTCTGTCTTTGCCAGATCTATACAGTCACGTTTTCGTCATCGTTTCAACTTTGATCAACAACGTTTTTAACTATGTAACTATGCTTATAGTAGCCAGCTGGATCTCTTCAGGTCAGTGGAAGCCGCTTACATTCTGCCACCCGGAAGTTTCTTGGTGCCTATTGTTTACAAACATTCTGAAATGCGCTATTGATGGTACTTAGCTGAGGCAGCAGCAAAGAAAGAGGAGTGGCTTAGGGTCACACGGGAGTATATGGGATGTGGACTGCTCTCAAGATTTTGGGGTTAACTCTCTGAGGGTATTTGTTTTGCTTTTTCTATGAATATCTTAATATAATTTCTTTGCTGCTGAGGAATAAAGAAAGAGATAAAGCATAACATAAGCCTCCGTGTCATTTAATAAAATCTAACAAAATAATTAGCTAAATGCAGCTAGTACTAGCAATGTATGTTTCAAAAGCTTTTCTTCACTTTTAACAATGGCCATTTTGTAATAATTCCTCCAGTTAAACTAATTTAACGTTATCACTAAACACCTGATAATTAAACATCTGTACTTCTAGTAGCATTCCTCCGGTTTCGCTGTCTAGAAGGGGCAGTCCGTATTTGAACCCATATCCTAATGTCTAATCAGCAGTAATTCTCACAGTAATATGTTTTTAAACAATAATATATGTTTAGAAATCAAACTGTGTAAATGAGATATATTGTTCTTGTACATTACATTTTAGGTGCATAAATTGTTATTAATAAGTCACCTAAATTTTCTAAGCGCAGCCCTGCCCCTGGCAACACCCCAACTCACACCCCTAAAATTAAATTGCCCCTCTCTGTCCATTTGAAATGTTGGAAGGTAGGTCATTCTGCTGAGAATGTATTATAGCCTGCTTTGTGAACTTGTGATTCAAATTTAATTATTCTCTAATTCTGAGGTCACTTTTTCCCTGCCTTACATGTTTGGCCTTCACAAGTCATCAAACCACCCTAAGGTCCTCGCCTTGTAGTCACATCAGTTATAGACATCAACTTGGGGAATGCCTAAAAGGCTTCAATCGTTGTCCCGCTCATTTCAGACCTATAATTGACTTGGATTATAGACTTCAGTCTTCTTATAAAGCGTTTTTGTTTATTTTACTTAAAGCTGCTTTATCACTTATAGGGAGGTGATAAGGGGTTGCACTCCAGAAGCTGAAGACAAACTTCAGGAAGAAGATTGTATCCGTTAGCTTCTCCACTTTTCCTCTTCACATGAAGTAGGCTTATAACCTTTGGGGGGCCTTGCAAAATGTGCAAAGATGCTGAAGAGACATTTCTGAATGCAATTCATGTGTAATTACTAACATAAGTATTTGGAGACCTGGTTACAAAGCTGAAAGTCTTGCCTTTGTCCCTTCCATTTTTTTTTCTCTCCCCCACTCAATTTGCATTTTTAGAGATACATTGGAGCTAGAAGAGATAATGAATAAGAATTCAGTCAGCTTGTCCTCCCATTAAAAGTGCTATAGTTTGTCAAAAAAAGAGCATTGGCACTAGGGTGATGTTAGCCACATACATTAGGGTGATATTAGTCCACCACTACCAATTTGCATAAATTTTTGTGTAAATTAAACGAAGCATCAGTCCTTGCCAGATAGCTCTATTCATGAGGGATCGGAGAGCATATAAGCAATACTAAGGACACAATCTAGGCATCCGCACTACAAATTCCTGTATGTGTAAAACGTGTTTGATCAAGGGTTTTAGCTTCACTGATGAAGACTCGTGACCTCTCTGCATAGTAAACTATATAATGAATATCCCTTATTAACAAAACAAAAATAAAACCTAAGACAAGATAAGCAAAATAATATTATCCTCTGAATTCCAATAGTTTGCAGCAAATCTGCAGATTTTCCATAGAACATGAAATGGTTAAGTTTCTCTTAGACAACCATTGTTCTTTGTTTTCAGTAGCAAGGGTGAGAGGTTTATGACATTGGTGCCCTGGTTACCGAAATATTAAATGTTAAAATTAACAAGATTGTAAACAAAAACTTGTTGAAATCGCACATTTTGCACCCATATAACTTTGTAAAGCAAAGTTGCATAGGCCTATACTTCAGGTGGCCTTTCTGGTATGTCAAATTAAAAAAATAAGTGCCTCTTCACTGGTTGATTTTATATGGATTGACCATTGTAGTTCAGAAAATGCAAGTACTTTATGGGAAAATAAATGTGCATGATTCTGCTCTGCAGCAGCGGTGCAGACTGTATAAGTTTTCAAAGTAGTTTTCATGGATGAACCTAAAACACGACGTACACAGCCTTGTATCCATGGATAGAATTTACTTTGCTGCATTGATTGCTCAATTAGGATTTGACTAAAGTGGAGAGATGAAAGGGAGAGTTTGTTGCAACATACCGTATCCAAGGAATTTAGGTTGTTATGGTACTTTGTATGTGCAATTAGAGTAAGGTCTGTCTTTATATTTTGAATCCAATTGCTACAGCAAATCATGCATTATCTTATAGAATTATTCTGAACTGGTAGTTCTAAAACTTGTAAAGAATAAACAAAAGTTAGTCATTTTTAATGTTCTTATGTTGGCACAATATTTATTGGCACTGTTAGATTGTTGTGGAGGTGAATTGCAAATTAAATTGGCAATTCAAGGATGAGCACTTCATTGTGCTTTTGGGGGGAGGGCAGTGTTTTGTCTTTGTTTTGTTTTTCTCAAGTGGCACTGTCAAGTCAGTACCTTGAAAATAGAAAATGTTCAGTACAGGACACTCTTAGCACCTTCACGTCTTATGTTCCATGAATAGATTATAGTGTAATGAGATCAAACTGTCAATGGAATCACAAGTCAGTCAGCAGAAACTTTAAAACCAGGGATTTACAGGAAAATCAAATGTTTGCTTTTGCATGTTTTTTGACTGCAATATCTACAAAGTGCATTAACAAATTTCCTTTTTGAACAATATTGGTAATGCCTATAAGTAGAGATAAAGACTTGCCTTAAGAACCTTTTAGTGACAGTGGTACATTACAACAGAGTTTGGTACATTCTGGTCCCTAAAGTGTTAGAGAACACCACCTGAACCTGAAAAATGTCTAAATTATTTAAGATGTTCAACTTAACTACTGCTTTGCAGGTCAGCAGCAAGGAGCGGATGGAGTGAAGGTACAGCAAGCTACAATAGCTCCTGTTACAGTATCAGTTGGAGGCATTGCTAATGCCACCATTGGTGCTGTCAGTCCTGACCAAATAACACAAGTGCAGCTTCAGCAATCTCAACCATCTTCTGACCAGGAGGTACAGACTGGCAAGAGGCTAAGAAGGGTGGCATGTTCTTGTCCTAATTGCAGGGAAGGTGAAGGAAGGTAAGTAAATATAGTCATGTTTTCTTGTAGAAAATTTTGAAGGGGAAAAAAAAGATCTCATTCTTCCCAACTTTCATCTCTTTATGGCCGTTATTCATTTTAAGACTTTGTCCCATTCACTTTATCTGTTTGTGTGGGAAACTCTTCAAAGTATGAAATACATGTGTGCCATTAATTGAGCAATAGCACGTTAATTAAAACCAAAACTGCATCTCAGATTGAAGTCAAGTAGATATCCACTATAAATGATTAACTTAACTGCATGACCATGTTCAGCACATACAACATCAGCTGTATATTGCATCAAAAGTAAGACTTCTACAGTTATCGGTCAGGTTTGATTTTTAATGTTGATTTAAACCTGTAGAGGTGAATGTGAATCATATTGCAATTCACAATATTGTCTAACATCACTGGTAATACATTGCAACAGCCGTGTAAAAAAACAGCCTCGCTAACAAGGAGAAGTATACTTGTAGAACAATGCGAAACACTGTCTGCACATCTGTTAGAATTTACAGACTACTCTATAGTGCATTGGACTGATAGTTAACGTGTAATCTCCACGGACACCACTCCATTGTTGTTACTGATAGCTTTTCTTTATAGACCTTTGCTTCAGACTTACTGCTTATGTATTTGCTGCTGGTTATTCTTTGCCACTATTGTGCACTGTCAAAACTAAACCCGTTATCTTGTATTCTTTTGCAACTCTTACAAAACAAACTAGAGTGTCGTAAAATGTCGTTTTTATGTTTACTTTTTGTTTTCTGTCTTCACTTTAGAGGGAGCAGTGAACCTGGGAAAAAGAAGCAACATGTCTGCCATATTGAGGGCTGTGGAAAGGTCTATGGGAAGACCTCTCACCTCCGTGCTCACCTTCGTTGGCACACCGGCGAAAGACCATTTGTGTGCAACTGGATATTTTGTGGCAAGCGATTTACTAGGAGTGATGAATTACAGAGGCACAGAAGAACTCACACAGGTACATCTTTCATTCTTTTATTTATACATAGCTAGGGTTTCTTTGTGGAGTACTGCACTATCCCACCTTCATAAGCAGATATGTTTCTGCTGTCCTGTGTGCACAAATCTCTATGGTTCACTCATTGTTCTTGATTTACATTCACTATCCTTTCATTATTCATTCAACTTCACAAACTCAGTTTTTCTTTTCCATTTTCAATTACTTCCTGTTCTCTATTCCATAATAATATTTCTGTTGTTTGTTTCATGTGTCCATTTTATTTTTTACCCTGAATACACCATATTTCCATAATATTTTTAGCTGCCCCATGTTTCTCTCCTCCTCCCCCCATCTTTCTTCTCTCTACTCCATTTTTAGCCTGTGAGTTCATCTTTCTCCAGTCCAGTGTATAGTTAAGCTTTATCAAAGTGTTATAAAGTGATGGAAAAAAATCCCTTTTATGAAGTTTAATAATATACATGAGTTGAATTTTTCCTATGACAATTTTAGCAACATGCCACAGTACATGCACATAAGATGCTTGCTTCACCCATGGAAAGAAATAAAAAGCAGAGGATTCTCTGAAGATTTATATGGGAAAATCATCTAAGAAGGCATTATCTATATAATGCATTAAAAAGAGGATGCTTAAATGGAAACTATAGTCACCAGAACAACTACAGCTTATTGTATTTGCTTTGGTGAATATAATCATTCCCTTCAGGCTTTTTGCAGTAAACTCTGTCTTTTCAGAGAAAGGGCAGTGTCATTACAGCCTAGGGATACCTCCACTGGTCACTCCTTAGATAGCAGTGCTGCACAGTGTGCATTCAGTGTCTCCACCCTCTGCATGGAGACGCTGAACATTCCTTATAGAGCTGCATTGATTCAATGTATCTCTACGAGGAGATGCTGATTGGCCAGGGCTGTGTTTGACTTTTGCTGATCTGCCTCCTTGACACTCTCAGCCAATCCTTTGGGGTAGCATTGTGATTGGCTCTGACCACCACTTCTGATGATGTCAGCCAAGCAGGCAGATCGGGCAGAGCCAGCAGCAGCAGACTGGAATAAAAGTAAGATTTTACTATATTTTAGGGGGTAGGGTGGGGGACGCAGGGGGACCAGATGGTGGGTTTTAACACTATAGGGTCAGAAATATGCTTGTGTTCCAGACCATGTAGTGTTCCTTTAATCGACGCAGGAGAATCTCTTAATGTTTTTTTTTGTTTTTGTTTTTAACTTCAGAATAACGGGAAATTAGGTAGTATCATGGGGGTCTATCTGTGACAACACAGCAGATTGCTATTCAAAATTGAATATGTGAAAGTGCTCTGTTTATGCATTTCATGCAACAGGCTGCAGTATTCATCTGCACAGACAAATAATACACTTGACACTGAAAATGAAAGCTATTGCAATCTTTTTGGTGGCAGTTTGAGCACCTGGTACAGAACTTTTATTTATTTGTTTTTCTCTTTGCCTTTTAATTACATGATTTCTTATGTGATACATGTAATGAAGAAAAAATAAAATATAGATTGCAGAATTCAAATTATTTGTGCTGTTTTGTAATGAATTACATTGTATTCTGTTTTTTTTGTTTTTTTAGGTGAGAAGAGATTTGAATGTCCAGAATGCTCAAAGAGATTTATGAGGAGTGACCATCTTTCCAAGCATGTTAAAACCCATCAGAACAAGAAGGGAGGTGGCACTGCCCTGGCCATCGTAACTTCGGGAGACCTGGATTCGTCCGTCACAGGAGTCCTTGGTTCACCAAGAATTGTCACAGTTGCCACCATCTCTCAAGATTCCAACCCAGCAACTCCAAATGTTTCAACAAACATTGATGAATTCTGAAATACTTTTCAATGGAGACTCATGCTGCTGCACTTGACGTATGTAATTAGCAGGATCGTGATATGGTGTGTAGAGTGGATTACAGGGGAGATATCATGTTTTAAATTTTTTTACTATTAAAGAATAAAGAAAGGGGTTGGCATGAATCTGTGAACAATATCCATTGTTTTTCTATCATTAGGTCATATATTTAAAAGGCAAATATTTTATCTGTATCATGTATATTCTACATTTTGTAACACCGATTAGCTTCCACTATGTTTAAACTTTTCCTCATTCCTTTCTTGCAAAATCAAGATGCTAATGTTTTAAACCACATCACGAGAAGTGCATCATTGGCTTCGGACCACAAATACTGCAAACTCCTGATTTGTAAAAAGGCCTTACAGTTATATCGTATTTGTAGAAAATGCTATGAGTCTGCAATCATCTTTGCAAAGAAATGATTTTTTTATATGGAGACATAATTTAAAATATAACATTTGGATAGTTTAAGGAAGTTATTTATATAAAAAATGCAGGGTACATTGAATTTCATACATTGAATTTCCACTGGGCCCCTTCTGTACTCATGGATGTAAAGGCATGTAAATATGGGTAAATCATCGCTCTCTCCTTAAATTTCTCTGTGTGAAATGAATATTTGAAAGTGTAACATGTTAAAAGGGCGGCAGTCGGTTAAGTCCACATTCCATTGAGTGAGTTTTGATTTTAAATTATTATTTTTATTTTGTATCTCCTATCTTGGGTAAATCTAATGTTTATCCACTCTATATTTAGACTTTAGAGAATTGTAGGATTTGGATTTAATATTGAGTAATGCACTAAATAAGGGATTCTCAAACCTGTCTTTAGTACCACTATTAAACCAGATTATAACCATGAGGACAAGTCATTTAAATCTTTAGAGTGTCTATTTAAACAAAGAGCAAACGGCATCATGAGGCACAGAGTGTGTGTGTATACAGTATATGCATGTAGATATACATATTTAAAGATATATACATTTTTAAACAGAGTTGTCCATTTTCTAATGTGCTGCATTATTCCCTACTGTGGTGCATTTTGATATTTTGCTTAGCTTTGGTTGTATTACTTTTAGCATTCTATAACAAATGATAGTTATGAAATACTTATTTTTGCTCCATATTAGTTGAAATTCAAAGTTTTTGCAATATTCAAAATATACATAATTATTATTATATCAACTGGTGTTACAGAAAAAGACTTGGTAAGTCTACAGACTAGATGTATAGCACATGAATAACATCGGTTTACCATTTTGAACTAGTAAAAATTCTAGCTATTCCACTAAATCGTATACTATATAATATATTGAGGGGATGAGTTGAGACAATTTAAGTTTTTTCAGGCAGTTTATCAACAGTGTGTTGCAATTTGATATACTTCTTGAATTTTTTGTACGCCAGAAGGAACTCTCTCTACCTGTAAAAAGCTGAAGTGGTGTACGCATTTGTGTGTATTCCTTCAGACGCTATGAAACCATGGCATTTATTTGTATGGCATCTTGTGGTTCCATGCCTCAGGTACCCGTAGCTATTTACAGACAGATGTATAGATTTATTACACACAGTAGTACAATACTTAGGCACTATTGATACATTTTGAATATTGGCAAGTAATTGGAGCCAAGCACTTACAGACGTAATTTGAGAAGGACAAAAAAATCAGATTTGGGAATAATTCTAATGTTAGAATTAAAATTTCTGGTCTATCCACCCTCTTATTCAGGATGCTGGCTAGATACATACAACCAATGATGCTGTCTTGTTTCTGTCTTTATCTATTATCTAGAAATTACTATGCATTAATAAATGCTTCCTCACAATGTGCCTCCCTGTTCACTGCATGAGTGCTTACAATTAATTTTAATTTTTAATGAATGAGAAGCAGCGAATGGTTCTATTTGTGCAGATCTGTACTGCTGTACAACACTAGTAAGCCCTGACTTTGTGTCTCGTTCACTGGAATGATAAAACATTAGCACAGGGATAAATGTGTGAAATTTTCAGCAGTACTATTAGTGGTACTTAAAGGCAACTTTTGGGTTTCCCTGTTATAGTGCATCAACTTTCATTAAGTTGTATATGTCTTTAAATAAAACTAAAAAGCACTTAAATAATACATGTCAATTTTAGACAGAAGAAAGTAAGATTGCAAATGTCCAGTTTTTGAGAAGCACAATTTTTTCCCTCAAAACTACAAGCAAACAAGAGTGACAGGGCATGTCACATATTGCTAGATTTGGTCACTAGTCATTTCATAATTGGAAACATTTTAAATCGTAATCTTTTAACATTTTGCAAGTAGTTAAAAGATGAATGAAGTTAACACATTTTCTGAATAACTCAATAAGTAAATTAACTGGTTTCAGGTCTCTCTCTAATTTAGAAAGAATACCAGTTGAGCTTGTTGTATGTTTTTGTACATATGTTAGTGACTGTATATGTATACATTTATATATACACATACTTGTATGTTTTAATTTTGGTTTTAAAATGTCCCATTAATGTGTGTTGTTTTTATCATTTATAGAAAATAACATTTTGTTATGTCAATGCCGCGATCAGATCTTACTATAAAGTAGCATAAAATGCAGTTTCATGTCAGATCAGAGATTTATGGAATATGTTATTTATTATTATTATTATTATTATTATTGAAACCAATGTAGTTAATCAATTCTCTGCAATGCAGTATCAATCTGGATCCACAGATTGCTCCATTCGGTCAGTATGTATAAATAAAGGGACATTACATTTGTCAGTTTGAATTGTGCACGTATGTGTAAATATAGATATATACCTGTATGCACATATGTTGGTAGGATTTTTTTTTCCACTTTATTAATACACTTTCTTTTTGAGCACTTAAAATGATCTTATTTCTAGCTGTTGAGTCGGACTGCTTACAGTCAGTAGACATTAGCGTAGCTTTGTTTTTCTTTTTGTTTGTTTTTTTAAGTTTGTGCACAGCGGCTCTTTTTCATGATGTTTATTATAAATGTTATTGCTTTGCAATTTGTAACAGTGTTTTCGGCCAGGTCTAAAAGTTTGATGTATGTTTATTTATATTGTTTTCATATAAAGCTTTATGTAAAACATTAACAATGCTATATTTATTGCTGACAGATTTTGCCAGTGGTTGTATAATAAACCATGGTGAACTTGCCTATATCTGTGGCCTGCAGGCTGTTCTTCAGCCCCTTTGGGATTCAAACAATTGTCTTTTTTATTTCCATTTGTGTAGATCATACAGTAGCCACTGACAAAAAAAAAATAAAAAATAAAAAATTGTAATTTAAAGTCCAAAAATTTCTTTAAACATTTCTAAACTGAAATTAAAGTAAATGCTAAATTTTACATAATTTCACTCCTCAGTTGTGTATCTACTAAATGAAGAATTCAAAAAGGAATGTAATCTAACTGCTGTGGTATTCAAGATGTGCAGTTGACAGCAATATTTGGTTTGATGTCATTTCACTGTTGGTCAATATGCCACTGTTTTACAAAAATGCTTTGATGTATTTGTTTATTTGTAATGTTAGAATCGCAGTGTTTTTCATTTTGCTAATTTAAAATCTGTGTTCGAGTAGTAGATGTAGATGTGCTTCAGATCTCATTAGAAAATTACATTAATTTATAGATTTTCTGTTTTAGGATGATAGGGTTGATTGTGAAATGTGAGAAAGCATGTTAGGTCTAACTTTTCAATTTTAGGACACTTTTATTAAAACCATATTTGTATATAGTTTTAATGCCTCGTGCTTCGTTGTGCATCTCAGAACAAGAAATTCATTTGATATGCAAGACAAAGTATTCAATTGGACATCATTTAATAAATGAAATGTTAAAACAAATTGTTTCTAGTATCTACAATTCATTTTTGAGGGGAAAATAACTAATTGGGGGGAAAAGTTGCAAATTCCCTCAAATTTTGCCAGCCTCCACATTTGTCAATTTTACAGTGCTGATTTGTATAAACCTTTGTTCTTTATTGTGGATTTGGAAATAAAATTATGTGAAATTTGTTGTCCAAAATTGTTTTGTAGAATATTATTGTCTGCTCTGAGATCTGATCAATGTCTGTAAGATTTTTGCAGTACTGCTAATAGTGGTGCAATGTTAAAAGTTTTAAGCTTATAATAGTGTAATGAGGTTGGTAAAACCACATAAGGACAGACATGGTAACCTTGGAGAAGTTTCTAAAACCTGAGGGCGTATAGTAATGTCTGGTTTAGAACCTTTAATCCTTGGAGAAACATGCCCATTACAGTCTGCTATAAGTCAAGTGTTTTTTGGGGGTTTTTTTTTGTTTTTTTTAGCAGGTGTGTTTGTCTCTGAAGCCTGGTCACTTTTATCAAATAAGAGACTTTAACATTTTATTGCAAACTATTTTACTGCGGTTTGCTGGTTTAGTAAAAAGCTCTAGTAAAAGAGCCCTGCCAAGTCGTGTGACATTTGTACATATCTATCATACAGACTTGTAAAGTATCAGATCCTCATTTTAACAACTAGATCTTTAAAAACATCCCAAACCCCCCACCAAACTTTCTCTTGTTGGATAAATAATGTGTGTTTCATGATAGAGGAGGTGCCCTCTAGTAAAAGTATGTAGAAGACCATTTGATGTTTTCAAATAACCTTTTCAGTGTTTCCCTAGTGTTTGGTCTTGCAAGTTTAATATAGGTATACCAGGTCTGGAAAAATGCCTGCCTTGTCATCTTTATGTGACCTGGACTAAGGCAAATCCATTGACATGGAAGAGTTTACTTTTCAGTAGACATACAGTTGAGGCCTCAGGCATGCTCAATTTATGCAAGATCAACTTTCTTACAGTAGACTTAAACATTTCAAATCTAGCATTCCTTGGCAACCTGGGAATTTATTTTAGTTATAAAGCTGCAATGTATTTTGCAGTGCTGTACAATGGATAAACAAAAATTTTAAAAAATCCTCAAATGAACATGTCACCTAAAAGTGTTGATTGGTTTATCTAGTTAAAAAAAAAAAAAAAAGGTAAAATTGCAAAGAGTATCAACTATGTAAACTGTAAAAAGAATGTGGACATATATGTAGGGGTGTACGATCAGTAAAAGCCAATGGAGAGCTGAGACACGACTAATATTTTAGGGAGGAAATGTGACTTCACGTGCATGTTGTGAGCAACTTTGCCACCCTTTTATGCCTGGGAAATTTTAATAATGGACAAACTTGCTATAGCGTGGCCATCACAGTTAAAATTAAGTAAAAAGAAATAAGTGTGTGTATAATATATTTATATTTGTGTTAGGGGCAAAAAAGCTGTATAGAGTGATAGAGAGCAATATAGGAATAGCGTAATACAGAATGGAAAAGGTCGGTTGAGGTGTGCCGGAACCGACACTGGTGGTAGGCCTGTAAAATAAAGAGGGCAAAAGGGAGAAATACTGTAAAATCGTAATACAGTCCACAATCAACATACATAATTATATCCAAGGTTATATGATAATGCTTGACGGAGGTCCAATACTGGTTGTGGAATATACTGTGAATAAGCAGAGGACTTACAATGACCTAATGTTTAATAATGTGTAGTGGTATAATTCTGCTTGAAACCATGGATGCCGCCCCTAAATAGTGACCAGAAAAATGGAATGGTTAAGGCCTGGTCTTCTTGACTAATGTTCTGACATAACTCATGAGCGAGATATATTTGATGGTTGTGTGATAATTAAGTTTAAGGTGGCAAAAGGAAAACCGTAGTAAAGAAATCATGGCAAATATGTCGTTAATATACTGTACTAAACTTATAGAAAAACATAAACCGGAAGAGCGTAATTGAGCATGTATTATAATTGCAGGAAAACGGTTGAAAGTATACGTAGGGTGGACCATGCATGGGTCAAACATAAGGAGTCAAGCCTCTTGTTGGCCCATGCATATTGTTACATAAGAGAGAAAAACATGTATGTTAAGGTGCGTGCCCCGAAAGGAGTGATAAGGCCGAAGATACCTGGTTGACTGAACTAACCTGTCGTGATAAACATAGAGGCAATGAAAGAACCACTTACCTGTGACCTGAAATTAGTAATGAGCGGAGAGACTTAGGTGACAACAATCACTACGAGACCACTAAGGGTCTAACTTAGAATACCTTATAACATGGAGGAGGAATACCGTGTACATTGATAATCTGGAATCTGCCATACATTGACTAAGGTAATTGTTATAGAAATCTAAGAGACTAACCAATATAAACCTTGCAAACAATTGAGTAGTTAATTCGGTAGCTGACTGTGGGAACACTGTAAAACAAGTTTAGTATAAGCCATTGGAATAAACCAGATGGCCTAAATGTGATTAACGGCATATAACATGAACTTAACCTATTAGTATTGAGACATAGATTAAAATTCTACTAGTGATGGAATCTCTTGAAAGTATGCAAATTGTGAATCTATCACATAACCACACTTGTTGTCCGGTAATTGATGGATACCTGAGCAGATGTTGCCTGAAAATTAATGGATAGCCCAGAGACAAATTAGTGGTGAACATAGATAAGTGATGCACACAGCAGTGGTCAAGTTGATAAATCAACATATATGGGAAAATTAACTGCGAGTACAATAGGTGGAGAAACAGAATAGTAGCAATATTGTATAAACCAGAAATTGTAAGTAACTAGGATCAGTATTTACATAGACCCTAAAATGGACAGATAAGTTCAGTAAAATTACAATTAAACTAACTAGTGAATTGGAAACCAACCACCAACTCCTAATTAGGATAACTAAACCAAAGTAACCTGCTTTAGCAGATGAGCCTCATGAGGGCTACACAAGATGTATGTACAGGTTAATATTGTATTTCTTAATCCTATGTATCGATTTAAGTATGAGCATAAATTCATATAGTTAATTGCAATACCTGCTATGTAGGGGAGCCAAACAGAATTTCGTAGTAGTTCGTAGAAAGAGTTAAATAAGCCGTGGTTGGCCAGCCATAGTGGCTTCCATGAGTATGAGGAGGGGTGGCTTAACTAATGAAGACATGGAATTATAACAATTTATCACCCTGAAACTGATAAGCGTGGTATCGCAACTTGTCTGTATGCTAATTCCCTTATAGCAATAAAACCTCTGGAAAAAGGACAGATAGCATGTCAGAAAGTCGATATTCCGTTGGATATCATGAAACGTACCGGAACACGTACTTGATATTGACTTATGTAATGTATGCTCAACTGCGTAAGGACGTAAAGGAGAACCAGCGTGAGGCCTTGAATATGAACGTGGATGAAATGTAACATATATATATATACATGTTTGACTAGTAAACCAACGCAACTGAACGCACCTAATATTAGTTAAACACTACATGACTTTTAATGCATATTACTGAACAGAAGGAACTACCTTTCCTCATAGTGCCTGCCACAATACTGCTTTAATACATTTCATTGTGCAGGCATCACAGAATAATGTGTAAGCCCTTAAACCTGTTTATAGAATAATAAAAACAGCTTAGCGGTACATATTTATATTTGTATATTTATATATATATATGTATTTATTGTTATTGGGAAATTTTGTTATCTAGCTGTTGGTATGTGCCATTTAACCATGCTGCTGTGTTGCGAGAGATAGTCCAATAGAAGTGGACTAACTATATTCCCTTTGTGTATCTGACCTAGAATGGGAGTGACAGGTGAAGCCCTCTCTATGCCACCAATGCGAGGCAGCTATCTATGAGTTGGGCCGATGGGCGTAGTACCTTCGAGTATGAGGATGGGTGTTGGCCTCGTGGGACCACTAACCTAAGGCGCAGAGGCCTGTGAAATTATTAACTATTGGACTCCTATGCCCTGTCAGCCAGTAATGAAGCTAACTAAGGGGAGAAGGGTATGGTACGTATAAGGACGTGTAAATTGACGTACCTGAGAAAAGTAAGTCAGTCATGCGGTTTAATATAAGAAATGGATAAAAGCAGACTTATAGGGGTTAACGAGATAGTTGTAGGAAATGTGGTATGTGACGTAAAATAAAAAAAATAGATATCATGGTATACCTATAGGATAAGTAGCACAGTTAGTTGCTACCATAAGTAGGAGGTTGCAGAAATTAGTAGATACCTAGCGCCTAAAGATGCAATGATGTAACATACATGTGTAAATTGTAAGGGCTGGCTCGTGGACTCAATTTAAATAGTCTGTAACATACTTATCTAACTAGCATAGGGGTTTCCCTAATCCTGTGCACCCTGTAACCTGTAAATAAACATAGTATGAGTATTGCCCTTGAAACAATCATCCTGTAACCTTTGACCCATTTTGAAGGAAAACTGCTATTTTAAACGGAAGTGAAAGCAGTAGTCCTAAATGATTAAACTAATAGTGTGATGCGTATGTACGTGGCCCCCGTAACATATTATACAAATTTGTAGTTTCGTCTGAGCCCCTATGTGGCCAAATGACCTGAGACCTTCATAAGGGAAGAAACCAGATTCAAGATAAAACAAAAGTCCTGTTTAAGGAACATAAAACATTGTAACACAGGCAAGAGAGTATACTAAATAGCATTGAAGTAAGCAGTTAGGGAAGCCACCAGCAGGTGATTTGGATAAGGAGCCCAACCTTAGTAAATAATTTTGATTATACACAAAGTCAGAAATTAGGTAATGTACTATACTGAACTAGTGATAGTGTCTCATCCCTAGTTAAGTGTCCAGATCCGGACTTCCCTGCATGTTGAAACAGATACAAGAAACAGTTTTCCTATATTTAGAAGTGGAATAGCAGTAACATAGGTGCAGAGAGCATAGAATATACTGTGTTGATCCCGGTGAAGCGGTAAGAGAATCTGACCTGCAGGTGATTTAGGTTAAAGAACCGAGACTTAGTAGTATGAGTATAGGAATAAACCAGATGAGTGTTAGAGGCGTAAACGAGTGAAACCTTCATGTAGAAATCACATTTATTTAAGTGAACCATATAAGAAGATTGATGAGTCCTGTAAATTGATAGTAAAATTTAGGCCCCAAACAAATTAGGGCGACCA